GCCGGCCTCCCCTCCGCCGCCCAGCCCGCCACCGCCCTAGCCGCCGCCACCCTCTCACCCGCCACCGTGGCCGCCACCGCCCTCCCGGCCGCCACCATCGCGGCCGCCGCCCTCCCCTCCGCCGCCGTCGCCGCCACCGCCCTCGCCGCCGCCACCACCGAGCCCACCCCCGTCGCCTCCGCCGCCCTCACCGCCGCCCTCGCCGCCGCCGCCGTTGCCACCGCCCTTGGCGCCACCTCCGTCGGCGCCCTGCCCCCCGAGCTCGCCGGGCAGCTCCCCAGAGATCGTGACGACTCTTCGGTTTCGAAATGCCACTTTCGAGGTGGATGAACTCCAGAGAGCCATTCTCAACGCTCTCCGATGCGAGGGCGGCCTCAACAAGCAGGCCGACTTGGACGGCCGCGTCAAGGTAGATGTGGTAGACAAAGAAGATGGTCAAGTGAACATCGTGCTCACGAAGGACAAGAGAGCTGGGGGCGGAATTGCAGCCAGCGACATTGCCAACGGTAACGCCACTACACAGGACTGCTTTTGCCAGGCTTTTGCACTACCATGAGTGAGTATCTCGGCAGCAAGTTGGAGTGCGAGGAGGTTCCCTTTTCTTCACCACGCCCTTCGCCGCCACCTTATCCTCCGCCCCCGCCCCCGCCCTCGCCGTCCGTTCCGCCGCCTGGCTTGCCGGCGCCCGAGTCAGGCCCGCCGAGCGCCCCGACCCCGTCGTCGCCACCGTCAATATGGAACGCCAGGTTACTGGACGGCGGCTGTGAAAAGGCGAAAACCGCCAATTCTCACAATTATTCAAATGGCTCCCTCTCCTCCATCCTCCACCGAACGACGCCGACGACTGCATCTTCTGCCGCACCGCCATCGCCTCGCATCGTCATCCCCGCCCTAGTGGTCATGCTGGCCGCAGCCTTTTCGCCACCGGCCTCGCCCTCGCCTATACCGCGCGCAGTGCCGCGCCTGTGAGGCGCGCATGCCGCCCCCCCGCCCCCCGCCCCCCGCGGCGGGGTCTGCAGCGGCGCTCGAGCGAGAGCCGCCAGCAGTGAGCGAGAGCCGCCAGCACAATGGTTCGAGTGGGCGCTCGCGAGCGGCGATGGCACGCTTGCCGGCCAGCTGGCGACGAGCGAGGCCGATCCGCCGCGAGGGCGGCCGGGCTCGGAAAACGGGGGAGCCGTGACGCTCTCCCCTCTCCGTTCCTTCGCCGCTTTCACGATTCACCGCTGTCCGGGCGATCATGCCGGGCGATACACCGGGACGGGTCTCAGTTTTGTCGTGTTGCGCCGCCTCATTAAAAATGTGTGCGCGCGTGTGTTTGTGATATTGTGCAGTATTCAGTATACTATAGCATGATTGTCGAATGGTCACGCTCGTCGCTCGACGCTCGTGCGTCGCCGCCGGCGCCGCGCTGCACATTCTCTCGTCACCCGCCGACAGATCATGTCTGGGAAGGCTGAAGCGGCCTCGCCTCGAGAGAGCCGACAACCCTGAGCTCCGACAGGCCCGTCCACCGGCCGAGCGCGCCATACACCTTTGCCGTCACCCGCCCCTCGTCAAATCTGATCACCGTCGCCTCTCCACCGCCGCCGAGCGCCGCGAGCCTGGTGTATGAGCACTCAGTGGACTGAGGGAGGGAAGAACAAGTGCCGTGCAGTGTAGTCGGGACACGGGCCATTCCGCATCTAGGCGCCGCGAGCCGCGTCGCTCGCTCATCCGCCTAATAAAAAGAAATCCCGCGCTAGAGAGGGCAAGCTGTGAGCCGTCGCGTCGCTGGCTCCTCCACCTCGAGAGAGGCGGTCAGGAAGAGGGGCCCGGGCGGGATCCACTCCTCGCCTATCATGAAAAAATAACCAATGACTAATCACTCGACGGGGGTCCGGGCGGGACCCTTTCCTCGCCGTCGCGGCCGAGCCCGGAGCACCTGGAGAGTGGAGAGACACCGGGACTGAGGTGTAGGAAAGAGGTGGTGCAGGACTGAGGTGCAGGACTGAGGTGCAGAAATGAGGTGCAGGACTGATGGGGCGCGATGCGGTCTCGTGCAAGGTACTCTGAGCACCGCATGCAAGAAACGGACGTGCCGTCTCGAGTGCTAATCTGGGATACAGGGACACGTACTCCGCATCTACTTTCGCCGCACTCGAGCCTCATCTCGAGTGAGTGCCGCTCATCCCCGGCCTCGTTCACCGCGCTCCAGAGGCCGGTGGAAGCAAAGAATTTGCTCGGCCGTCGCAGCGCAGCAGTGCCCTGCGGGTACTCACCGAACCGGCCATCCCGCTCGAAGCGAACCTGCAGCGCCACGTCAACTGACCGAGCCATGTCGCGGCCGATGGAGAGGCGGAGCTCCCAGCCGTCGTCCCGACGAAATTGCCGGCACGCGCACAACGGCGGCCTCGGGCTGTATCAGATCCCAAAGCGGCGACTCCGGCCGGGCAAAGATTGCAACGCCACTCAACACGGTGATTACGATCCCAGCGGGCGGCCACTCGATTGAGCGCACACAGCCGCCGCGACAGCAGGTGTGCCGCGCGGCCGCCGACGAGATGGACGGCTGCACGAACGAGAGCGTAGCGGCGAAAGCTGCAAGCATCCGTGAAGCCGCGTCAGGTGATTTCTTTTGAGTCCCGATCTGTGCGAGGACGATCTGCTGTCCGACGGGCAGCCGAGCGCCCTGGCTAAGTATTGAGCGACCCTGTAACCCTAGGGCCTACTACCCAACCATTGCGTCCGCGGGCAAACGGGCGCCGACTGCACCGCGCGCGCTCACGCGGCGTTGGGCACGTGCTCCGCGAGGAACAGAGTCCCAAAGTTGGCGTCCGGCGGCCGCACACCCAGCGCCTGCAGCACTGCCGAGGGGCGGGGCGCGGCCTTGCCCGCCACAAGCACGAGACAAAGTCGGTCGCGCCCTCGTCTCGAGCGGCGACGAGCAGCGCCGGGTCGGCGCCGGCGGCAACCCGCACCCCGGATGGCCGCGCATGCATGAAGGCACGAGCGCAGCAGCGACGGCTCCGTGCCTTCTTGCACAGTGAAGACGACCGCTGCGGCCCCAGTGGAGGAGAGATGATCAGCTGCGGCCGCCGCCGCCTCCACCGCCGCCGAGCTGTCGACGGCGAGCGCGAGGGCCCAACTTGAGAATCGTGCTTTGAGTTGGGTTGTTTCGTGTTGGGTTGGGTTGTGGTTGGGTTGGGTTGTTCCGCGTGAGGTTGGGTCGTCGGCGCGAAGGGTGAGGTCTCGACCGCCGCCGCTCACGCCAGCGGACGGCCACTGCCGGTGTTTTTGGCTTCGCCACCGTCCAAGGCGTGCGCCATGCGCTCGCCGGCATCGAGCGAGCAACGTGATCGACCGAGCGGCTTGCTGTGTGGTCGCCTTCTTGTGGCTCTCGTCGAGAGCGTTTTGCGTCCCGGCGGGTGGGAGAATGTGTGTCGTCTGAAGTGTCACTGTGTGCGTCACATCGATGTGGATAACAAGCACGGTCGATCCGTCAAAGCGATACACTCGTTCCTATCACGCTGGAAGGCTTGCACGGAGCTCTGTGCCGGCACACAGAAGAGCCGTGCGGCAAGAGAAGAGCTCGATGGGGAGCGAGAACCGTCAGATTTTCAGGTGTAACCTGAAGTCCGTCGCGACGCACTCAATCCCTCCCGAGCGAAAGCCTGTGGCTCTCTCGAACTCGTCGATATATTGCGAATAAACTGCTCTTCCCGCATAGCTTGCAGAGTCAGAGGCGCAGAAAGGCTACGAGTGTTCGACGAGTCTTGCGAGCTGCGCGGTCAAACCTGGGGGGGACTGACCGCATCAAGGCGGACTTCCGAAACCTGGGTGAGCACCTCTGGCAGTTCTCGCTCCCCATCGAGCTCTTCTTGCCGCACGGCTCTTCTGTGTGCCGGCACAGAGCTCCGTGCAAGCCTTCCAGCGTGATAGGAACGAGTGTATCGCTTTGACGGATCGACCGTGCTTGTTATCCACATCGATGTGACGCACACAGTGACACTTCAACGACACACATTCTCCCACCCGCCGGGACGCAAAACGCTCTCGACGAGAGCCACAAGAAGGCGACCACACAGCAAGCCGCTCGGTCGATCACGTTGCTCGCTCGATGCCGGCGAGCGCATGGCGCACGCCTTGGACGGTGGCGAAGCCAAAAACACCGGCAGTGGCCGTCCGCTGGCGTGAGCGGCGGCGGTCGAGACCTCACCCTTCGCGCCGACGACCCAACCTCACGCGGAACAACCCAACCCAACCACAACCCAACCCAACACGAAACAACCCAACTCAAAGCACGATTCTCAAGTTGGGCCCTCGGAGCGCAGGTCGAGAGAGACCCTCGACGCCCATCTCGGCTACGGTTCCGACTCCGGCTCCGGCTGGTAGTCGGAAAGAGAGATTCTTGGTAGTCGACAAGCTGCCGAGCCAAATCACTGTGTGTGCCACATTTCCAGGTCGATGTGGCAGTGTGCATTCTTGTGGCCGTTAAGCTCCCCTTTTATTTTTAAGCTCCCCTTTAAAAAATCTTGGGAAAGGAAAAGAAAATTTGTCCACCGTCGCGCTGGTTTATGAGAGGTTGAGGCCTCAATAAAAAAAATCCTCCGAATTCATACTCACGGACGCTCTACATGGCGGCGCGACACCTTGTCCCTCCATGGGCGCCGACGTATGACATGCGATTATCGAGCGCGGCCATGCCATGCAACTACTCTGGCTTTTTCGACGTGCCTACGGCGGCTCAATGGGGGCTTGCCGACTTTGACTGGTCCAACGCCAAGCTCGTCTGGGTGAACGACAAGCCGATGGACTGCGAGGCCCTGCTCGCGCGGCAGGCGGAGGCGGTCAAGGCGGCCAGTCCGTCCACTCGGATCTTTGTGTACCGAAACCTCGTCAAGGCGCTCCCGTGGTTCGGCTCAGTGCGAGAGAAGCTCGAGGACCCCGCGTACTCCGGCTGGTTCTTGCACTATCGAACGAGCGGCGGCGCCAACTTCTCGTCGCCCGAGTGCACTGGCCGAAAATGCAGCCGGCTCTTCCATGACCAGGACCAGACGCCGTCGACGGACATCGCGGCCGACGGTCGCTGCTTCGAGGAGTGCGACTGCGGCAGGTCATTGCCGTGCGGCGAGTACTTGTGGGATCACCGCAACAGCTCGCTTCGCCAGTGGCTGCTCGAAGAGTACGTCTTTGGACCCAGTGCACTCGGCCACGGAGGGATCGACGGCCTCTTCCTGGACGACGAGTGGTATGATTCACCGCTGCCCAACCCTTCGTGGGGGCCTCCCGAGGGCTTCTGCACGGCGAGCCCCTACGGCGGACCCTCCGAAGTCCACCCAGGATGCGTCGCGGACATGGGTCTCTCGCATGCGGACGTGAGAGCCATCACCGCCGGCTGGCTGCAGACGCTGTCGCAGGTGCACGCGGCCGCGCTCGAGGCGGGGCGCTGGATCTACCAGCTCTTTCGCACGGTGGGCGCGCCGCCTCGAGCCGCAGAAGAGTGCGCCGCGTACTTCCGCGACGCCTGTCGCGCGGACAGCCAGGCGCAGCTCTCCGCCACGCTGTTCAGCTTCTCGGGCGCCCAGTCGAGGCCGCTTCCCTCGCCGACCGACGACGTCGCCGCCTTCCTGCTGACGCGAGGCCCGTATGGCTGGATCGGCTTCGGATGGGTGGGCTGCGTCAGCTGCAACCTGACCGCGGAGGATCCGCGCGGCCTATGCGACCCAGCCGGGGCGTACGAGCGCCCCTCCGAGCTCGACGCGGACTATGGCGAGCCGCGCGAGCTGTGCGCCGAGACGTCGACCTCTTCGCGCGTCTTTGCGCGCGAGTGGAGCAAGGCCCACGTCTCGTTCGACTGCAACTCGTGGAAGGGCACGATCGAGTCTCGACTACCGTTGAGCAGCCAACGCTGAGCGACCCGAGGCAGCCGCTTGATGAGCGTGCTCAGTACGCAGGCGTAAAAAATCTTTTTTAAAATATTCGGCTCTCTGCACACTCTGTGGGCGATCAGGATCACCATCAATGGATCGGGGATCACCATCAATGTAGAGCTGTCAAACGTTAACTTTGGGCCTAACAGTTGCACTATTGTTGGCTGAAAATCCTCAACGTTGTTCAAGTGTTCTCCCCAGCCCAAGCTGTTACTGTTTGTTACTGTTGTTACTGTTGTTCAGTGGTCAGCAAGCAGAAAATGCCAAAAAAACCCGGGTAAAACCCGAAAATACCTGGGTTTTTCCGGGTATTTTCGGGTATTACCCGCACTGGACGCTGGAGATCGTCGTGGGTCACTGCCAGGCCTTCCTTATTGTTGTTCAGCTGGCCTAACGTTAGCTACTGTTGTTGGGGAGCCCCACTGTTGTTCTGTTGTTACTGTTAACACTAGCAACACTGTTCAGCTCTTAACGTTTGACAGCTCTACATCAATGTCGCATCAAGAACCCACCCCCACCCCTCTCCCATGGAGGTGGTGGACAAGAACAGGCTGAGCGCATTGGGCGATTGCCCTTCTGGCAACAGCGGGAGCACCGAACGCGCACCACCGCGCTCTCCCTCCCCCACCTCGCCGCCTGCCATAAATCCCCGCGGCCGTCTGGGTCTGCGCCTGCTTCCGAGTATGACTCCGAGCCCGACTTTTCCGACGCTGAGGCGCGGCATAGGGTGGCAGGGGTTCTACACGACGCAGTGCAGGAGAGGCTGTGATGCAATGCGGCTATGGAGACGAGCTCTTCCAGGCGTGGAGAGACGGCAAGATACGGCAAAAGGACTTGCCGGAGGAGGGGGTGGCTATGACTTTGGACCTTTGCGAGAGGTGGCGAGCGGAGCAAGAGCGGTGTAGGCGCGTCCACGCGGCGCAGCGGCTCTCCCGCGACCAGAGCCCCTCCCGCAGCCGCAGCCGTCCGCAGCCCCAACTCTCGCCGCTCTCCAGGGTCAGGGGACGGATGAAGATCCCTCACACCAAGGTGTCCTAAATCCCATCTCGTCTCATCCGAGTTTGACCTTTTTTATTTATTTAGCCACTGGGTTCCGGCTCCTACCCAGATAGGGGCTGTCCCCACCCGTTACACCCTGTGCAATAGGAGATAGGCCCGGTTTTGACCGCCCCAGAGGGCCCAGAGGGCCCCGCAATAGGCAGGTAGGTAGTGGTGAGGGCTCACTCCCGTACCATGCGGAACCGACCCTATCCAGTGCTCAAGTGCTCAAGTGTGTGGGGGGGGGGGGGGGGGGATAAAAAACCCGAAAAGGGGAGTGGGAAAACCGCTCCGTTCGCTCGCGCGGGCGGGAGACGGCGCGTTTAGCCGCGAACGGGGGCCATGCCAGACGAGTCGCCTGCGGTTGGGACGCCGCCGAGACGGGTGCGGCGGGCGCTGGGAGTCTATTCACAGGGGGCTCAACGGGTAGTTCGCTTCGTTCGCTGCGCGGCCTGCGTGGGAATAGGTAGGTATCACGGAGCCTGGCGGTTGGTGCCCGCAATAGGTAGGTGGGTAGGGCGTTTTGCGCGAGTCAGTCACAGACTAAAGGTATCCGCAGGGGAGGGGAACCCTGACGGGCCCGCCGCCGACCAGCCGCCGACCGCGGAGTCGTGTCGGGAGTCGCTCAGGAGTCGCTGCGTGTTGGGAACTGCCGGAGTCGCTCCGTGCGGCTACAGATGCCGTGGGGGGTTTTCTTTCTGAGTGCGGTGGCTCACTACAACTTTGAGAGATGGCTCGGACGCCGCTCGGTCGAGTCTCTGTGGCCAGACACCATCCCGTCGCAGCCGGCTCTCTGCTCGGCGGGGGGGCATAGCATGTACGTGTCGCTCGCAGAGCAGCTTGATCGCGTCGAGCGAACCGGCTGTGGCGAGCGCAAGTCCGCAACGTGCATGATGAAAATAGGGCGGGATCGGAATGACGGGATGGGCTCGCAGATGAATCGCCGGCTCTCTTTGTTCGTCGCAGCGTTTATGCTGAACTGCGCTTTCGAACATGCCCCAATCTTGCCAATGAACGCTCGCAGCGCCAAACACGGCGTGAAGCCCGGCGCGGCAGAGCACCACTTTCGACTCAGCGGCGCGATCGGTGCGCCGATCGACGCGCTCGCAAGTGAGTCAGTATGTCGGATTCGGTCGCGGAAACAGAGCTGGGGGGAAGGGTGCCCGTCGCTGCATCCGAACATTTTTCGCAACAACACGCGCCTTGAGGCGCTTGGAGCAACATTCATTGCGGCAGCAGCCCCGCGAAATGGCACCGCAGCGTTGCTCTCTCTGGCCGCTCGCACGCATTTCTTGTATCGAGTGGAGCAATGGCAGCGTCAAAGCGAAGGGCAGGGCGTGACATGCGGCTCGGATCCGATCTACTTTCCGGCTGCTCTCGACCGCTGCCGCTACTTGCAGGCTCGAGTCTCCCTGCGCGCTGCCTACTTTGACCCCCAGACCCCGAAACAGCACGCGCACTGTCCTCCTTTTGCTGGCGGCGAGTATCAGCCATCACGGGGGACTGCAAGGCCCGCACAACGCTCGCTCGACTGGTTCCAGCCCGCGAGGGCGGGCACAATGCCGCTGGAGATCGCGGTGCACATGCGCCGCGGTGACCTCCGGAGTGTCGACCCAGGGCGTTTCATCCAAATGGACTCGTACAAGCACCCACTGCGCGCCTTGATCGCCGAGGTTGAGGGGCTGCGCGCAACGTGGGCTCAGCTGGGGAGGCTGCTGCTGCCACAGCTGCATGTCATGTCGGAGGGCCTCGCCGCTGACTTTGCAGCGCTCCCGAGATGGCTCAATTCCACGTGGCCGGTTCGCTTGCACCTCGACTCGGACCCCCTGGCTACGATTGATCACCTCATCGGCGCCGATGTACTCGTCGGATCCATAAGCAGCTACAGCAACACGGCGATGATGTACTCTGCCGGTGTCCACTTGCAGGTGTGCTGCGCGAATGAGTTTGACCCGCCACTTCCGTGGCGTGACCTCCACAAGCAGCCGGCTCTGCAACGCGAGTTTCGCTGTCAGCTGAGCGCTCACTTGGAATACAAGTGGCGCCAGAAGTCCGGCACGTCACTGCGCTTCTAGAGCGGAGCCCATCAGGCGTGCACCATGAGAACTTGTTATGGACACATTGATATTCTTCCATTTCGAGCGCTCCGATCTCGATTGGAAACTCGCAACTTGTAAGCGCGCTCCGCCCCCCCCCCCCCCTTCCCCCGAGAGATTTTGGGGGAAACGGACGCGCACCAAAGGAGATGGAGGAACGACACAGCCCTTCTTCCGTGCCTAGACCCTAATGAGTAGTGTTGTGAGAGACTTCGAGCCTTGCAGTTGCTCTGTCGCTTGCATGCTCTGGGGTGGCGGCTGGCGCAGGGGCCCCCGGCCCACACCGTGCGCCGCGCAGCAGTGCGGAAACGGGGCCCCGGCCTGAGCCCTGGTCTGACAGCCTGACAGCAAACCCCGGACACAGCGCCTGACAGTGCCCGACACGCGACAGCCTGACAGCACATAAGACATATATCTGACAGCCTGACAGCAGAGTCTGACATCAGAGGTGACCCGTCGCTGTCAGGCCCTAACGTGCGACAGCCTGACAGCTGCCCGACAGCCCGACAGCTCACAGTGGCCTGACAGCAGCGCTGACAGCCCGACAGCCCGACCAGCCCGACAGCAGCACACCAAGCAGCACAGACCTGCGCCAGCTCTCGATGAGTCAGCGCAGCGCAACGGGGTCTTCATCAACGACCCCAAGGGCCTCTTTATCCTCCGGTGGTACCGTGAGGTGAAAAGGGTGACGGGACCCCCCAGACGGCCCGCGCTACCAGAACAGAGCGTGCAAGTACTACAAGCTGATGAGCGACAACGATGGGGAGGCCTTCCGCTGGACCAACAACTACCAGATCATCAGCAAGTTGTGCGTCCACCATGAAGAAGATGGTGGGACCGGAGGCAGAGTATAGAGACGTGTAGTAGAGTCCTGCTGGTCTCCTCTTGATAGTGTCATAAGTATGGCTGGTGTGTGTCAGAGCCTGACAGCACCCCGACAGCACCACCTGACAGCACCTGACAGCACCGGCCCTACGTCTGACAGCAGCAGCAGCCCGACAGCTCTGACAGCTCTGACAGCGTCTGACAGCAACACCCGACAGCTCCGACCGACAGCACCCGACAGCTACAGAGAGCACCTCTGATGTCAGACACGCACCCGACAGCACCCGACAGCACTGACAGCACCTGACAGCTGGTCTGACAGACGCACCTGACAGTGCCTGACAGCGCCTGACAGCCCGACAGATCACCTGACAGCACGTGACAGCCTGACAGCCAGGGCTCAGGCCCCGGCGCTCAGAGTCGCTCAGAGCACCAACTTCCCGATTAAGTACGGTTAAGTAGAGGGTAGATTTAGAGAGATATCGAGGAGTACATACAGATAGACCCTCCAACCATCAGAAAACTCCGACCTGATTGGTCGTACTGACCGCCGACAGATCACTCCAGACAGCAGACAGGCCGACGTCTGCACGCGGCCGGCCGGGCGAGAGGCTTGACACGATCCGGCCCTGCGACCCTGACGCTGCTGCTCTAGCTATCAGCCATGCACTGCTGACTGCTGCCACAATGTGCGACCTGTGCTGGCCCACTTGGCGGCCTTCCCGGTCAGTGGTGAGGCGCAGTTCAGAGCTGTCGATGGCGCGATGCCGCACTGGTCCCACATTGGTGACACGATACCACCAAGTTTTCCGGTCCAAGAGAGAGGCACCGGCGCTGTCCTGAGAAGTGCGTGGTCCCTCTTGACTGCCCATGCGCGCGAGGCTGTGTAGGCATAGCCTCGAGAGTGCCAGCAGCCAATCCGAGGCAGTTTGTGACGCGCATTGCGTCAGAAGCGTGCACGCAGCTGGAAGGACACCTTCCTACTGGCCGTACGATCAGGTCGTCACTGAATGCTTGATACTAAGGCCGCGAGCTATGCAGGTGATCAATTGTGCATCATGGCACGGTCAGCAGCGCCGACAGGCTGTCGCAAGGCGTGATAGCATGGCCGCAGGCGGGCCATGGGACCCCATCTCCCCCCCGCATGGACACCCTCTGGGGCCCCCGCGCCGGCCCAGAGCTTGCATGTTGACTAGATACACAATCCTTTTTGTTTCCCTCGCAGCTCGCAAGCTCCCACTCAGCACGTGGGACGTGCGCCGTGCGGTTGATAAATTGTCTTCGTCTTTCCTCGCCCGCCTTATTAGTTCCATCCACAAACAGCTGTCGATCGAAAACAGCTGCATAGTATGATACTAAGTATTTAGCAAACCCTCCCTGTCTTTAAAGCGCGTCTGCTCCTTTTTTTTAATCAGCTGGGGGCCATATTTGATAAGATCTGGTGCTACTTAAATAAGTTTGCCAGGACGACTCCCCGCACCTGCCCACCCTCGCGCCGGAACTCCGACTACTCGCTACTCGGGGCGAACACATTATGCCCCTCGCACCGCGGGTGGGGAATGTTTGAATTTGTGGGTGACGCATATCGGTCAGTGTGCTCGTTTGCTGCCAAATGCGCGCGCAGGGTACCGTCGGAGTGCTCGAGGAAGTGTGCAGACAAGTGTGCGGATGCGGGGGCACAACACTCGCAGGCGGCGGATGGCTCCAAAGACGCGCAGCCCATCCGGGCGCAAGTGCCACACAAAGTGGACCACGAGGCGCCCAAGCACGACCAGGAGTATTACACGCGGCCTCTGCTGCCGCCACCAGAGAAAATGTGCGCAGAGTCGGGCCAGCTCATCGCATAGTGAGTGTGTA